GAAATATGTTGAATGAAAACACAGTTATAAAATACATATAGATGATTTAATAACATATTGTTTTCTACTTGTATCCCCCCCCCCCCCATTAAAGCATTTAAAATCATTTAAAACATTGATTAGGGGTATGAACTCACCTGTAGATGGTGGTTTGGATGAACTGGACGGTGTAGGATTGTTAAGTGTCAAGTGACGACTTGTGCACACACTACGATCCTAATGGACATATAATCACACATATATGCACTCAATTAGTCTTAAATTACTAATTGATAATGTTAAGACATCCTAGAACATAATAAACACTTTATATAAGTGTTATAAGCCCTAAGGATTGCATCTAAGCTATTGTGGGACAAGGCACTTGGGTTTGGGGTTCCAAAGGACCCTATATTGGAGTTTACTCTCCATATAACCTCACACATGGAGTTTACTCTCCATATTACCTCACACATGGAGTTTACGGTTGTAAACTCTTAAGTTTACGGCCTTAAACTCCAAGACGTAATGTTCTTGGTTGTTTTGAGGTGTTAAATGATCCCTAGAAGTATTCCAACTTGGTGGTTTAATTCCTGGAAGGGTTTAAGGCATAGAAACACTCCTTTGAGGAGTTTACGGCCCTAAGGCCATTTCCTTTGGAGTTTACTATCATAAACTCCCTTGGAATGGTATTTTTGATGCTTTTAATTCTCTTGCACATGTGGTATGGATCTTAGACTTTTATCCCAAGCATATGAAGGCCTTAGGCACACTTTGGTGCCTTTGTTTCATGTTCACGGCCCAAGAACCTTATTAGGGTCGTGAACTCACTTTGAGGGGTGTTTTGATGTGTTTAAGGTCCTTGGTTTAAGTGGGAATGATTCCATGTAAATGTCTAAGGCTTTAGGTGCCTCAAAAGCACCATTTTGTCCATGATTTTGGAGTTCACGGTCCAAGATCTTCTTGGTCCGTGAACACCCAAAACTTGGTGATTCTTTGTTGTTTTCATGTCCCAAATATACCCATATACGAGTCCAAGGTAGTAGCATATCACGGGGGAAAGGCTAGGCTTTGTTTCGGGAGTTTACCGCCGAAGAACACCTTGGGGAGTAAACTCCTAAATCTAGTTATTTAGCTATCTAAATCATGTTATGAACACATAATAAGCTTTCTAACACTACTAGAGAGAGTTACTCACGTTTTGGGATAAAAACCCGAAGATCCGTGAGAGAGAAAATGGCTTTTCTCTAGTTGGAAATGCGAATAATGAATGAATTTGGTTCAGAATTTTATTTATAGTCCTGAGATTTTTGGTAGAAAATATTTTATTCCCGAAATGATCTCTAGTATAATAGAGTGTTGGAATAACAGTGTTGCACAAAACCCTAGTGCATCCACTCTCCTGATATTTCCTGAAGTGTAAACCCTAAATTACTCAAACTTATACGGAAAAGTCTGAAAGTTTACTGTGACTCATATAACTTCTATTGAAGTGATATTGTTTATACAGAATGGAAATTCCGGGTTGTCACAGGTGGCGTAATCATATGCCTAAATTTTGTGCCACATGGTTTTCCATCTCGGTTATCTCTCTGGTAATTTTGTCCGTCTCGTGTTCAGCCTGTATGGCTCGTGCCTATGCTACCAGTAACTATTGCCAAAGAGTGGCAACCTCCTCCTCTAGGGTGTGAGTCCTATCGATGGGATCCTATGGTATCACAATGTGCTCCTGTACTGTCTTCGGAGTGGGAGGCTCACTGGAAACTTCATCAGTGTTTCCCTCTTCCTCCATAATTTCATCGGACTCTCCAAACTCATAAGTTGTCTCCATATACCCTTCCAGCTCCACTCCGGGTCCTGCCTCCTGACCCAATGCAGGGTCATATCTAGGTTCCTCCTCCGGCTCTTCCATCCATCCATTATTTCCCTGATTGGGGAAATAGGGATCTCCTGGGTGATGGACTCTGGCCATAGCGTCTGCACGAAAGTGATACATACTAAGAATAAATTACACATGGACTACTCCTATAGTATTTTTAATTATTTAAGTTTAAGTTCCTTACGGTTATTTGAAATGAGGTAAGCTTCTAGATCCATTTCCCGCTATGATTACTCCCAAACACATGTTGGTCATATTTTGAATAAATATAGTTTATCAGGCTATATTTATACCCAATATGACTACATAAATGTCCGGGTTTAATCATAGTGTTCAATTTCCTCTAAAAGGATTTTAGTGTTATTGTTTTAATGTATATTTAGGTATGCATTTATTCAGAGTGTTTTAGTCCCATTTTATTTATAGTTGCATATCAAGTATGATTAGATATGCCCATTCATTATAAACAATGCTCTGATACCAATCTGTCACACCCCCGAACCAAAAGGCGGAAACGTCTGGGGGCTTGCGCGTGACTTCATCTTGTAATATCATCACAATGTATATAATTGAAACAAGACAACACCATCATCATACATATCAAAATACAACAAACATTGTTTACATCAAGTATAATATCATAAGTTACATGACAAAAAAGAAAGTTCAATGTATGATGATAACAAAATTACAATAAATTCCATTGTTTCCTGCTGACCTTTCTTCTTAACGATTCCCTGAGAATACAAATTATTTTAAAAAACGGTCAACATAACAATGTTGGTGAGTTTATAAGCATATTTAAATGAAAACTTTTAAATTGTTTGTAAACACCATAAAATCTAATATTATTCTGAAAATGGTTTAAACGTGATGTGTCAAAATCAAGTATTAATTCACGTATGTTTTCCGTTTTTGGAAATATACATGAAATGCAGCCCAGAAAATCCTGTGTTTTCTGCCGTAAGTAAAAGTAATGTATAAATATATTTATCCAAGAAAATCCAATATTTTCTGCTTTTAAGAGTATTGTAATCGTAAATTCCAAGACCGAGTGTCGATGAATGTATGTTTTTAGTTCTATCAAGATTTGTATAAGTATACTGAAATATTTGATGGAGTTAGTCTCTAAGTGAGTCGTTACAACCATGCTTGATAACGACTAGTTTGCCTGTCTTGGTGTTTTCAAGCGCTGGTTTGATTAAGGTAAGGTTTGTGGCCCTACACTGGCCTAGTCTAGTTGTAGCGAACATCTAAGGCGTGGGGGTGTCACCCCCGTATAGATCTACACAAACTCTTGCTCTCCCTCTAGGAGACTCTGGTTATAATTACAAACTATAATTATACACTCAAAGGTGTCAACCGACAAGTCTCACTAGATCCTTAACTTGTTTACGAGTACTGTATCACACTATGTATAAGGTTTACGTATATGTTTTAAGTTTTCAAATCCAAAGTATGTAAGTGATTGTATGAAGTCCAATAGATATGTAAGGGACATTTAAGACCCACTGAACATATGATTTTTAATCCAAGCCCAATTAGCATGTGGAAGGACCACGACAGCTCAATAAACATCTAAAAGGTTAATCCAGGCCCAATAGACATGTAAATGAACCACTAAGACTCAATATACATGTGATCCATAGCTCAGGCCCAAATTAACATATAAATGGACCACAAAGGCCTAATAAACATGTCATGGAAATATTAGGCCCAATATACACTTAAATGGACCCCTAAGGCCCATTAACCATGTAACGAGAGTATCAGGCCCAATAACATGTTATTGATGTCTTTCGTCCATTTGTTGTTATTTCGTTTTTGTTTTTGCACACAAAAAGGTTGAATTTATGTAATAGAGACATTTTTGGCCCATTAAATTATACTATAGGAATGCGTACCATCTTTTCGTAACACAAAAGTTTTGCGTAATTCTTTGACAACAAACCCATGTCGAGAATAATATCAAAGTTGGGCAAGGAGATAGGAATCAGATTAGCAAGAAAATTGCAGCCTTCAATTTCTATGATACAATCCCTATGGATTTTATCAACAAGTAATGATATACTTCATGTAGTATGTACATGAAATGATTGCGCGAGTGCATAGCAAGCAATTTGAAAAGAATGTGCAAATTCATAAGACACAAAAGAATCTGAGGCACCAGAATCGAATAAGATATGAGAAGGTCTAGAGTTGACAAGAAATGTACCCATCACAACATTCAGGTCCTCGCGTGCCTCCTCTGTGGTAATATGGAATGCACAACCTTTGGCTTTTGGAACCTCCTCCTTTTTAGTTGGAGTACCTTTGATTGTTAACAGGAGCTTGAATTCTCTCCGGTTTTTTAACAGAAGCTTGACTTCCCGTCATCTGACTAGTAAGAGTAGGACAAAAACGCTTCTTGTCACCAGTAATACCACATGCATAGCAAGTAACATCCTTTCTTGGACAAGTTGGCTTTATGTGACCCATTTCTCCACATCCATAACAGACAACGGATTCCTTGTCTATTTTTCATTAGCCTGGATGATTCCTTCCACAAACACGACATGAAGGCGATTGAATAGAAAAAGATTGTGATCTACCATAACCACGAAATGCACTCTGAGATTGCACTTGCTTTTTAGGTTCATATCGAACGGATTGAGCTGGTGGAATAGAGGGAACAACAACAATTCTTTCAGTACGTGGATGCTTCGGAACAGTAAAAGTGGCACCACATATTTCTAAGTCATGTTCGCGCCTTCGAGCATACTCAACAACTTTATCGAATGACAGAACATCCTGATTGACAATGAAATTGTGGATTTTGTGCTGCAGCCCTCCATGAATAACTGAATTTTCTCGTCTTCAGAAGAGAGATATGATGCCTCCCATAAGCAAGCAAAATGTGCTCAGAAGTTGGTGAAAACTGAACCATCAAATCATCAATCAACATTGTAATTGTAAATACTAAATGTACTAAATATATACTACATGTTATGTCACCTGGATTAATATCAAACAATGGGCATCTCTGATTAGCCTTGAGATAAGTACCAAACCAAACCTACACAAGTACAATCAATAATTGTCATGCTTTTTTTAATGATAACAATACAAAAACGGAAGGGATTAACACAGAGGCATAATCCTCTTACGTTGCCTCCTCAAGTGAATATATTCTGAGTTCATAGATGACTTGGCGTGCAGAGATAGGATGACATGTAGGAGATGTTCCAGGCCTCCTACCCTCTTGATGATGAAGTTGTGATTGTACCTTAGAAATTGAATCACCTGTAAACTGAGGAAGCATACATGCAACACACGCAGCAAGATATCTCCCACATGCTGAAAAATGAGCTCCCATTTCACTGCAACAGCATACATTACAAACATCAACCCCTGCCAAGCTCCTTATTTATTTATTAATTTTTTAAATGGTTACCTGTAAAGGACAGCATGCAGTATTGTTAAGCGACATCATTCAAGGTTGAGAGAGGCACATGGATTGTTTGAATCATGAGACCAAATTCTTAGCTTACAGTGCAAGGCAACTCAGCAGCAATTGTGGCAGTAAGTGTTGCAGACAGTTGAGACTGTACTTGACCAATCATAGGGACAGGCTATCCTACTCCTTTGTTTGTTATCGACTCATTAACTGCCACTAGACCACCATTTTGATTCATGTTGTATAAAGCGTCTAGAGGGTTTTCCCCTGATCTCAGAGGGAAACTTGATGATGTGGCAGTGGCAGTGGCAGCTTGGTTATGACTTATCAACCATCCTTACATGAAGGGTAACTCCCAACGTACACGCTCTCTCAACACTGGAACACTTTCAACATCAAAAATATTCATGTTTTCGACTTGGTTATTATTTACAGTATTATCATTATCATTATGCTTGTTGCTGGTGTGGATAGAAGATGAAGAAGAATCCATCACTTGTTGTTGTGTTACTGTTGCATTTGCATGGAACAGATGTTGATCAGAAGAGGATTGTGGCTTTCTTGAATCAAGTCTTGTGGTTGAAGGAGAGGAGAAGAGAGGCAAGGGCATTAATGGTAATTATGCTGCTAAACTCAAACGGTCTATTCTATGCATATTGCCCATATATACAGCACGAGGGGGATAATGCAGATAACCTAGAGATGTTGCTGGTGCCATTGAAGAATCTGAGGAGTCAAGATTGTTCACTTGTAAACCATTTAAAACAAGGGAAGGGCTATAGCAATGTACTTTCATTTTTTTATTAGGAAATTCTATCTACTCAATTATAGTAATGGAATTTTCTTTGTATTGGGATGAAATTGTTATAACTGGGTAGCTTTTTGAAACCACAACCATAGTTGCTATTAACCCTAATTACAAACCCATGGAAAAAAATGTCACCACAATAGTTAACAAAAGTTGAGCAGAATGTGGATGGAAATGCATAGCCCGTAAGAATGCCTCGTCCTTAATACTATAGCAGTTGAGGGGTCTCTCCTCTACTGTTGTACTGCCATAAATACATCTGAAATTGAAAAACTTGGAAGCCTAATTTTCATTCTGCTATGAATTTGATGAGAAAGGATCTCCAATAGAGCTAATCTACCAATCTTTCTCTAAGGGACTATAAGGTTAGGGAAAAAAAAGTTGGACTGCCAGTGCATTTATGAACCTAGAACCCTAAATTTAAGGGGAATGACAATTTACCTGGGAATACAAATGAAGACAAACAATCACCAGCTAGCCATTATCTCCTCACAACCCCTTGACAACCGTCGAACGCCACCTCACACCCTCACCTGCAAATCGGAAAAAAAAATTAATAAGAAGGGAGAAGAAGGGTTTTGATCGAACCAGAGGAAAAAAGAGGAAGAATAGGTACATCTTTTCTTTCTTCTTTTTTCTTTTCACTCTTACACTCTGGCTGTAAATAGGAAAGCGCGAGAGATATTGAGAGAATACACACAAGAGAGATAGAGATATTGATTCAACTACGGTTGAGAGGTAAGAACATATAATCATTTGAAGAAGAAGGAATTTTGTCACACCCCAAAACCAAGAACGGCGGAAACGTTCTGGGGCGGAGGACGTCATGTATAGTATCACAACACAGTATAACAGTAAACAAGAAAAAAACATCATCAATTGCATTAAATATATAATTTTAATACAAGCGTGTTCTGTACAATTATAGACACCAAAAATGTAAATCAAAATAATAAGATGAGTCTTGAATGCGCTCCATCTTCTCAAAAGTTGGCCTCGGAACCTGTCTACTGATGACCTGAGAATACAAGTTATTTTGAAAGATTTTATCAGCATTAAAGCTGGTGAGTTCATAAGTATTTTAGTGTCGGTGGTTGTATCAAAATGTTTGAACGTAGTTATAAACACGAGTTTGTAAACATTGGTAATATAAGTACGTGAATGTTTGTAAGTGTTTGTAAAAGTTTGAATCTCTTAGAAAAACCTATATTTTCTATTAAAAGTAGCCTTCTACCAAGGCGTAACTGTTTTGTATGTTCGTTTACTGTAAAAGTGTGTAATTTTCCCAAGTGTAACTATCATTCTCAAAATATAGTTTGTACATTATTGTTTAAGTGAAAAGATCACTAAATATGTAAGGGTAAATTAATGTAGTACTATAGTGTTGTATTATAGGAACTGCTACTGTACTAACTACCTTAAACCGGATTTATATTAAGGTATCATGTGATTAATTGTACCATACTATCGACTGGATAAACAATGACAAATGTAGGTCATAAAATGAGATGACGTTTGGCACCCGCAGACCTGCAGGTCCGGCTGTAGCTAGCAGCAAGGTGTAGGATAGTCAATCCAGTATAGATCTATACGCAAACTCACGCTCTCCCTTCCAGAGACTCTAGCTACAACACGGTCCATGACATTGAAGTCATGCTCCGATACGGATCACAATGGTTAATGTATTCATGTATATGTAATGTAATGTTACTCGTACTAGTATCGTTGTATATGTTCTCTTTCTAGTATAGTTGTATATGTTCTCCTTCTAGTATAGTTGTATACGTTCTCTTTCTAGTATAGTTGTATATGTTCTCCTTCTATTATAGTTGTATATGTTCTCTTTCTAGTATAGTTGTATATGTTCTCCTTCTAGTATAGTTGTATATGCTCTCTTTCTAGTATAGTTGTATATGTTCTCTTTCTAGTATAGTTGTATATGTTCTCATAGTAATAAGTATTGACTCATGAATGAACTGACTCATTGATCTAACAATAGTATAAGTATGATCCTGTGTTACCCCGATGGTAACTTACAAATGATGTAACTAGTATGTATGAACATGGAAGAACTTTTATGACTATATATGTACACATGATATATAATTAATATTGAAACGACCTTCGGACGGCTACCCAATATCCCACCAGACCACATCCAAATCGAGGAAAAGGAAATAGGGTGTGCGGCCTTCCTAAGCCTTTTAAACATTTCTTATATAACTATACATATACGGGCATGCAATTTATAATAAGTATAACAAAGTTTAAGTAAAACTATTTGATAAGTAAAAGAGTTTGTAAAATAGTTAGAAGTAAAACAGCTTTGATAAACAGTTTGAATAATAGTAAAATCATTGGTTTTGTAGTTATTAATCACATGTGATTGATGTAATAACTATAAGTATTCAACTTGTATTCCCCCCCCCCCCCATAAAAGCATTTAAAACATTTAAAAGTATTTCAAAGGTTAATTAAAGGGGTATGAACTCACTTGTGGTGAGTGGATTGGATTGAAGTGTCGGGTACGGTGCTAGGTGACAAATAAAGACTTGTACACACGCACGAGCCTAGTTATCATATAATGAACATATATATATATATATATATATATATATATATATATATATATATATATATATATATATATATATATAACTTATTAGCCAATTTATAACTAATAAATTAAGTTAGGACACTCTAGAACATGAAAACACTTTGTTTCAAGTGTTAAAGATCACAAGGATTGCATCCAAGTGTTGGTAGGCAAAACTAGTGTGTTGGAGTCCAAGGGTAAACTCCCTTGGAGTTTACGTTTTGATGGTCAAGACTTAGGGAGTTTACGGCAGTAAACTCTAGAGTTTACGGTCGTAATCTCTAGTCTTAATGTCCAAGTTTTGTTTTGTGGTTTAACATGTCCTTTGAAGCATTTCTACTAAGTGGTTTGGCCTTTGGAATGGACTAGGGCAACAAAACACCTCCTTTGAGGAGTTTACGGCCTCATGGCATTTTCCTTTGGGTTTAAAACCGTAAACCCATATGGAGGAGTGTATAGCCATGGTTTCAAGTCCCTAACACAATTAGGTAAGTGTATAAGCTAGTTTATAGGCCTAAGGAAGGAAAATGACCCATTTAAACATACTTTAGGGTGTTTATGATCTTGGGAGATCCCCAAACCGTAAACACCTATATTTGTGGGTATTTGATGTTTTTAAAGGCTTAAACACAATAAAGGAAGGTTTAAACATGTCAAGGATGGTTTATACATCAAACTTGGGCTTAGATAAGGACTTAGGCACACTTTGGTGCACTTTATGGTGTTTACGGCCCAATCATCTCCTTTGACCGTGAACACCTCTTGTCTTGTGTTCTTGACATATTTTCTTGGTGTTTAAATGTAATACTAGTTTACAATCACTCAAGGATGGAAGCACTTACTATTAGAAGGCTTGATTTGAGCTAAAAGGCCAAGAACACTTAGTATGTGTTATTGGTGTTCTTGGTGTTTTGGAAAATCTAAACAAAATACATAAATGAATGGATGAATAGATTGCACAAACACTAGAATAAGTGTTTTACTA